CAGATGTGAAATTCAGAGCCAGATCTAAAATCTTCCCAACTTTTAGGGCTGGGATAGACTTTGGCACATGAGTTTTGCTCCCTATTAATTTCATCATCATTTTACTTCATTATGCTTAATGATTGTGTTTGGGATGCTTCCTTTGTATTTAGCCAATATCGATCTTTCCTTTTCCCTCAGGTTATAAAAGCTCACACAATTTTATTTTGTAGCGCAGTTCAATGTCTAGGTCCTGTAGCTGTTTCAGGAAAAATCTTGGTTCACTGTGTGCTTGGTAAAAGCAGATCTGCCTCTCTAGTGCTATCTTATCTTATGATCTACCATCACTTCTCACTAGCTGATGCTGTCGAAAAAATTATCCAGCACCGAGCCATTTTCCCAAACCGAGGGTTCCTGAAACAGCTACAGGACCTAGACATTGAACTGCGCTACAAAATAAAATTGTGTGAGCTTTTATAACCTGAGGGAAAAGGAAAGATCGATATTGGCTAAATACAAAGGAAGCATCCCAAACACAATCATTAAGCATAATGAAGTAAAATGATGATGAAATTAATAGGGAGCAAAACTCATGTGCCAAAGTCTATCCCAGCCCTAAAAGTTGGGAAGATTTTAGATCTGGCTCTGAATTTCACATCTGGCTCCTCTCTGTTGAGTTAACCTTGGTTTGACCAACTCCAGGTAGAGCTTTTTTAACTAACTTGGGCCTGCCTCCTTATTGACCCTTGATTTGCATGCTCTACCAGTCTGGGACTGTTGTAGGATTCTAGTTTCAGAGTAACCCTTCCTGAAGAAAACCCTGAATTCCTATGTCTTTGTTGGGCATAGGATGCTTTAGTTATATTAGGGAGTGGGGATTTTCAGGGAGCTTGAGGCTTCCCACTTTCTTGGGAAGTTCTGTGAATAAATGGGGTTTCTTCCCATCTCACTGAACCCCATGGTTTCCCTCACCCTGTCCTCAAAGGGGTCATAGGAAAGCAGGGCTGGAAGAGACTACACAAGGTCGTCTAGTCCAGTCACCTATTCAAGGCAGGATTATCCCTGACTAAACCATCCCACTCAAGTGTCTGTTTAACCTGATCTTAGAAAAAAAGGATTGGGGTTCTACAGTCCCTTTAGGTAGCCTGCTCCACTGCTTAGCCATTCTTACAGGAAGAAAGTTCTTCCTAATCTCCAAGCTAAATTTCAAGGCCATTGCTGCTAGCCCTGTTCTAGTTCTAGTCATAAATACAGGATTATTGCTGAATTTCATCCAGTTGATTTTAGACCTTTTTCTCTGATTTAGCCCAGTCATTCTACCTCTTACCCTCCCCCCATCTCCACCCCATGTCTGCAACTCCACTCAACTTGGTGTCATCTTCAAATTCACCAAGTGTACACTGAATCCCATCCTCCAAATTATTAATACAGGTGTTAAACAGATACCAGACACAGGAGACTCTGGGAAATACCACTTGATATGTCCTCCCAACTAGACATTGAGCAATTGGTAACTACTTGTTGAGTATAACAATCTTCCCAGCTACATATCCACTATACATTTCTTTAATTTAATCTGTACTTCTGTATCTTACTAAAGAGAATGTAGTGGGAGACAGTGTCAAAAGCCGTGTTAAAATCAAGGAATATCACATCTACTGCTCTCCACCCATCTACAAAGCCTGTTAGCTTACCACATAAGGAAATCAAGTTGGTCAGGCATGACTTAATCTTGGTACATCCATGCTAGCTGTTCCTGATCAACTTGTTATTTTTTAGGTGTTTAGAAATGGATTCTGTGAAGACCTGCTCTATAATCTTTCTCAGTATCAAGGTCTGACTGATGGGTTTGTAATTACACAGGTCCTTCTTCCCCCTTTTAAAGAAAAGCACTCAAATTGCCTTATTCCAGTCATCTGGGAAGTCACCCGACCTCCATGGGCTCTCAAAATCAGTAGCCAATGGCTATAGAATGACCTCAATTCCTTCCATACTGTAAGGTGTATCTCATCCTTCCCTGCCAACTTGAAAATATCTAATTTCTCCAAGTAATCCCTAACCCATTCCACCACTATTCTAGGTTGTTTGGGAGATGTCAAAGCTCAGCTAGCCAAAAATACAGCTATTACAGTAAAGTGATCTGACCTACTGAACAAGATCACAGCTCTTAACCACTGGAGGCTGAGTACTGAGAGCTAGTTAAAAATTAAAATTATAATAAAAACAAAACTGCAGAGATTTTTCAAAAACACCAGACAGGATTGCTTTTTTCCACTGGTATTACCTGCATACATCTGGATACTTTCTGAAGAAGGGTGTTACAAGTCTTTCCTAGGAGATTTGTAGCATTATTGGAAATTTGCCTTTTCCACTGTTTGTTTCCATGTCTCTAATCCTGTATATTCACTAAGGAAGCTACTTTGAAATAAATGGGCAAATGAGAGCTAGTAATTTTTGCTAATAAGCAGTTTACTTCACACACTCAAAGGGAAATTATGGCCAGGCTATAACATCTGGTGCAAACAACCTAAACAGCCTTTAAAATAAAATCTCAATGACTGACTTCTATATGCAGACTTGTATCCCAGAAGGTTCTTTTGCTCTCTGCAAGCTGATTAAATCACTTCTATATAGGTATAACCAAAATTGAAATGCAGTGCGCCCTTTGGGGTGAAAGGTGGGCACTGTGTTTCAATTTTGGTTGCATCCTTTAACAATGCAGACTTAAACTGTGCAATATTCAGTTGCAATATGAAAAAAACACCTTGAGAAAAATACAACTCTGTGCTGAATTTTAAGTGTGAGGCCCCAAGGGACAGTTAGGCCCACTGACGTTAATAGGATTTAAAGAAGAATGGCATCTCACAGGATTGAGCCTGTAATACACATTAAATTCAAGGATGTTATGCCCACAGTGAGAGGGGGTACTTCTGAAGGAAATTATGTCTCTTTTCACAATGACCTACAGCTGCACATTTTCAGCATCTGCTATGAAAGCATCACAATAGCAACCTCTACTTGGTCTTCTACTTGATGTATTAGTGCACACACAATAAACCTCAGAGTGCAATGGGCATTCAGCCCATTTCATATCTAATTGGTGATAAGTACATTACAAGGAAGAGCTGAGAAAACTTGGCATTACTCATTTCTGTTTAGGACTACCTGTCTTCAAGACTCCAGGAAGAGAAACTAATTGCTGTTCATTTACAGGTAGGATCACCAGAATTCCCTGAGGGCTAAATTTACTCCTCCTAGGCCTCCACAAGCCAGTGAGTGAACCAGAAGTGTAACAGGAACAGTTTCAGTCTCCAATTTTGTCAGAGGCTCCACAAACACATCCCTTGGCAACTGTAGCCACACCTAGTCTCCAAGAATGCTTACACAAGTTACAGGGGTGTTAAGTTGTAGCCTTGTTGGTCTAAGGACATAGGCAGTAGGCCTGTCCAAAGCAGCTAGTACTCGCTTTGAATTTGGCCAATTTGGGGGACAGTGATTTGATTTGGTGATTTGAATCACTGTCCCAAATTGAATCGGTGGAATCTGATTTGGAGATTTGGCTGCTGCCGAATCGGCTGAATCTGTGAATCAAATAGGCCCCATCCCCCGCCTACTCTCCCAGCTCCATCAATGGCTGTCCCACTGAGCCCCAACATCCCGGCTCTTTAAAAAACAAAAACCTCACATTCACTGGCTCCTGCCAGGTGTATGTGTGGGGGGTGATCCCTGCTGCCCCCCACTGCTCTGCACTGCATGGGGGCTCTGCCATGAGCCCCCATCCCCCACCGACTCTCCCAGCCCTGTCAATGGCTGCCCCACCCAGCCGCAGCCTCCCTGCCCTGTAAAAAAAAAAGCCCTGCACTCACCGGCTGCTG